TTTTCTCTTACGGGAGCCAGGTCTGGGCGAAAAGGATGGAAAATCCAATACATGATTCGGGTGGCAGAGCCGTCCAATTTATGTTAACTGCTCCCGAAAGACGTTACTGATTCGTCAGCGTTCATTTCCATCCCGGTAAGGGGGCTTTAGCTACGTAGTACCCGACTGGAGTCGCTTCCATCACATGTGTGGCACCTGCGGATCCAGTTGGTGTAACATCAACATCCCGAGTTTCATTGTGAGTTAGGAGGGGAGGAGGATCTCAGTAATGAAAAAAAAAAAAAAAAAGGGTTTCAACAAGTCCACGTATATTAGCCTATGACAGGGAAAGGGATGAAGCTTGCTCCGACATGAATCCAACCGCACCTCAATCTTCAAGCATCCAGCGGCTTCTGCGCGTATACCACGCGGAAGACCATATACGCGTGGATGTCCGGATTCTTTAGCTCGGTCTTCAAATGAGCAATGTAAGTGGAAATATCCTGCTTTTCCCAGCCCATTACATTGCCGAACATAAACTGGCACACCCCTTCAATGTCTGACAACCAGGTCGTACGGAAAAAAAGGCCAAGTTCTTTCAACTTCGGATCCTTGGACCAAGGTGAAGCCGGGATCTGGCGGAATAAAAGATTAGCTTTCATGTTTTCGGACCCAAGCTTGGAGGAGCCTTGTGGCAGGGCTTGGTGTAGCTTACCAGATAATCCTTCTTCGTTATATTCACGAAGCCAGCTGCTTTCATCCCCTCCCCTTGCAAATTAGCCGTGACGATGTCGACTGCAATCCAATGGGTTGGAAGTGCCGCCATGAGGAAGGGACGAACCGACGCAACCACCAAATCCCGCCTTCCCAACTTACCAATAACACTCCAATCTTACTCAGGAACCAGACACTCGCCAATCTTGTTTTGACGTCACTCTGGTTCCCAACTCGTCCAAAATGTCCTATGAGGTTTCCTTGCCGACAACTGAACCGACAAACAGGCAGCGGCGTCGCAGCTCGCAACACTCAAATCACATGCCATCGTCGCCCTCAGTGCCTGCGTGTTTCTTATCTGCGGTCGAGTGGTCGATTAAGAGGATTCCTTTCCAACCACTGCATACTCGAACCTCCGAGACCGTTTGGCACGGCGATCCATCCACCGAAGAAAGATTGAAAAAAGAGAGTGCTGACCTCGTTGCAGATCCAATGATTCCCGCAATCAGGAACACCTATGGGAACCGGACAAAAGGCCGACGGGCTCTGAAGACTCATCGGCCACTGGAAATACGGGAACAGGCGTGGGCGACTTCTTTCCCGCTGAGGACGCGGGTCCAGGAGTGGGTGACTTCCCCTTCCCTTTTCCATTTGGCGACTGTGCCTGTTTTGCCGGAGAACTCATCGTTGATGGATGGATATCTTGAAGATTTGAAAGACGGGTCTGCAGACAGGAATTGGTGCTTTCGCGTGCCAGCGGTCTATAAGTAGGTATTTCGGGTCCGCTACCCCTCCTCACGAGCGGTCAAGATTGAAGGTCGCGCTCTTTCCTTTCGAACTATGTTCTTGGGTTACACTCGTGCTGCCCCTTAGAGTCATTCGGTACGTTTTGACTAACAGCAAAGTCCCATCCAAGCTGCAGTAGCGGAGTATCGGAGTTAGTTCTCAGGTAATGTCGTGTACCGCAACTGTAGATTACCGGTGGGAAAGAATGCCATTGGCTATATCCATGTCAGCTACCGAGGTAGTCAGGAGGTTTCGTGAAAACACAGTGGCTGGAGAGCAACTTGAATACAGTCGAACCTCATAAAACTGCATACTCCAGATACTGCATATATGCCTTTTAGTGCATAGAATTTGACTGTCTGAGATCCCCTGTGCACACCAAAATCCGGATCCTGAAACTGCATATTAGCTAGTTATTGCATAGAATTTCCCGGTCTGGATTACATGCAGTTCCAGGGGTTTCTACAGTACACTAGAGGTAACTTTTGTGCTAGATCAATCTAAAAGTCGTTAGCACTTGGCCAAAAGCGCCGCCAAGGTGACGACTTCCACGAAAAACATTTGTGCCTATCTTCTCGCTTATCTAATCACTGACCCTAGCAGCGGCGGAACTTTACCTCCACCGCAAATGGAATGCCATAACCGGAGGTAGGTATGTGATGTTGATTGTACTGAAGTGATGAAGAGGCTTCACGACGGGAGGTCTTGTGGCGGGGGCTCTCTTTTTTTTAATGTACGTAGGTAGGTCAGGCCGTCGGAACTTGCCTGTGCAGCAATGCACCTGCTATACCCGCCCAGAACTGTGACCTCCTTCCATTCCTCATCCGTTCTTGCTTCACCATGTCTGAGGAAGACTTTGATAAGCTGGTGACCTTCTGGTCAAGATGAACATGGATCACAAGACAGATCTATGCGGTCTTACTTTCTTCTACGATTGCTTTTTCTCCCTTCATTTGTGTAACTGAACCCCCATCCAACAAGTCACCGAAATGATCAAAGGCCAAAAAACGGCAAAAAAAAAACTAAAAAAAACTATGCGGTTTGTGTGGATCGAACACACGACCTTCAGATATATGAGTGAAGTGGACTTCAGTCTGACGCTCTCCCAACTGAGCTAAACCCGCCTTTGATGTTTGTCGGGAGTCAGAGCTACTGCTTTTGAGGCAATCAGCATTGGCGCAACCATTGCACATAGCGAAAGCCCTTTTTTCTGTTGCCATTTGTCCACAATCGCCGTCAGTTGTTTGTCGATGCAGGAATTTAGTATATCATGCTCCAAACTATCACTTAGCTCCACTTGTTTGGGTTCCACATGGTCCATATGGCCTTGCATCACAGGGAAAAGAAACCTTTAGTGTCCCTTCCCGGACAAAACGGTCGAGTTTCTCAACCTCTTTGGGGTTCTTTCTTTCTTTGCTGAATTGCCTTGGACTTGGACCAGTCCCGGAAGTGGGTAACCATATTAACTCGGGCCACCCAGACACCCGGCCGTCAGTAAAATCCTAGAACTGATGACTTCTGCAAGAGTTGCACCTCAAGACAGGAGGCACCCTGCTTCTCACAAACGTCTAGAACGCCGCCAGAGGCCACGGTATAAAGGAAGTCGGGTTGTCCGTCTTCGCCGCACCCTTTCGCTACATGTATCAAACTGAGATCCTTCCTGTTGTAGGTAGGCGCTTGAGAGCTTACGTCATGTGAGCCTCCAGTACGCCGAAGATTGCAAAAATGACGGTTGGCTTCTGGTTGCCGTCCACAAGACGTGCCATTACAACTTCCGATTGTCTTCTACCCGCGGCTACCCCCTCTTTTCCCTCCCATGTTCCCGTTTTCTCCTTTCGGTGCGCTAAACGGCCTTCGCTGTCTGTTTTCCTTGCCTGCCGGATTTAACTTGGGAAGTCAGTTCCATCCATGGTGGATTTTCTCTTGGTCTGCCTTCCTCTATTTAACCCTGCTTTGGTTTGTGCCCCGTCAATCTTCTCCTCTTGTTTCTTCACACAACATCGCTTTGCATCTTCAGACAAAGTCGCTGGCCTGCCGTCATCACACTTCCGTGTCAACACTCCTCACTCAGTGACTCAAGAGAAAAGCTTCCAAACGGCCATCTCCAAGACTACCAGCCCTGCCAGACCATTGCCTCAGATAACAACCGGTGTGTATGATTGCCGAGTTTCTCCACGCCTAGGATCTAACTGTTATTTCTTTCCAGGATTGCCTTCCCCATATTCCAGATCAAGATGTCCGGCACACGCCAAGATAATCATTTCTCGCCTGATGCCTAGATGGACGATAGCGAGGCTGGACTAGACGCCGAGACTGAGTCACCCGTGTCGGTGGAGGGTGACCGACTTACCGACATGCTCAGAGATTTGTTCAAGAGTGGGGGTTTGGACGACTACGACGAGATCATGGAGCACCTCAAGATCCCGGATGGATTCGTTTATGCTGTCAAAAACTGTGTGGAGCAGATGGCGAATGAAAAGTTTATCGTTGAGAGGAGGAAAATGGGGGATGAGAAGATCGAAATCTTGAATGCTGCTGGTCGGTACATCGAACATCTTGAGAAGAGAGTAAAGGATAGCAAGAAGGTGATTGGCGGTCTTGAGAAGGCCAAGCATGATCTTGAGAAGGAAGTAAAGAGGCTCCAAGAAGTGATAGATGGGGCTGAGGGGGTTATGTCCGAACTTGTGGAAAAGGAAAAGGATGATAAGAAGCATATTCAGGATCTTGAGGAGATGGTGCAAGACCTCAGTGACCAGGCCATGGGCTGACTTCTGCAATCAGCGAGTTTTATGATGAATAACTACGTCGACGAGCATTCGCGCCTAGCAGAGCGTAGTTCCAGCAGTTTCTATCCATATCTATGGTTGTTGTTGTCATCATTAGGTTATTGGCTTCATGTATTAGTACGATTGACAGGGCGTTCAGCGTCTCAGCCAAACAACATAGAATATCAGAAGTCTATGCCCTGGCAAGCATTCACTTGGTTCACGTTCTGTACCTAGTTTACGGTGCCCTTGTTTCTCCATTGTGATCTACGGCCTTGGTCTTCGTCCTTCCAACTTCTTCGCCAACCATTTTTACCCGAGAAAGCAATTCAAGCTTTCCAGCCACTATACATACCCTAAGAAAAAAAGCCCAAACTATCAAGTCAAACAATCTGTACGTACGCACGAGATTCTAGTTCCTCACTCAGCAGGCATCGCCTAAATCGCATGGACTGGCTGGCTATTCTCTAAGCTACCTACCTCCCCCACATCCAGCATTTCCTACAATGTCGTCTGAATGCGATAACACTGTCCATTTCAGCGAGCTCCAAGCTCTGATCGCAAACGCAAGAAGGACTTCGAGAACGCCAAAAGAAAGCTTGATGATGGAACAAAGAGTCTTCAACGCGCGAAGAAGGAAGAAATCATGATAAGCTAAAGAGAGGAAGCGATGATACTAACGCCGTTGTGCTGGGTCGCGCTCGTTGAGAAAAACGCAGAGCTGCCTAGCTGCTCCAGAACCTACTTGGTTGGTTACCGCTCAAGCTACCTCAAATGCCTACTTACCAACCGTCACTATTCTCGTCGTTGGGTAGAGGTAGCGCGCCTTTTCTTTCCTCGCCAGAGATTGATCTTATCATATCCAGCTCCAAATTGATGATGGTACATTGACTTCAGCTTCCTTGTGTCTCTCTGCGAGTGGTCCATGCGATACCTCTAGTGTGATAGCGTGAAAAATAGGGGCAGGTTGGCATGAGATCCACTCAGGTCGCCAGAAAACAAAGATGTGTAAGCGATAGTGCTATCTCCTAACTTTGGTGTCTTTAGCGTTTCTGTGCTAACAGATCTGCATGGTACAGAAAGCAAACATGATGTTTGCCAAGGGTATGTTGGGTAACTGACTGGTCCTGGGTCAGTTATAAAATTCACCAGTACAAGTGGAGGCTGTCTAAGCCGCTTTCCCCTTTTCGATACTAATTTTTAGCTGTCAGCTGGCTGGCGGAGACTTGATGGAGCATTGCGAAGTCCATCTCACGAGGAAAGGTACCTTGCCAAGACGCTAAATTTGCACCAATCAAAACTTGCAATTTGTGGACTTTACCCACCCATAACTGGTGACAACTGGTTCATACTGGTGAAATTCCATAAGGTACTGGCCACTGTCGACCAGTTCAACCACCAGTTCGAGGGACTTCCAGGTACGCCCCACTATTTCCCTTGCTAGCCCACCAACTCCTTTGTACCTTATTCCTGCTCCTGGCCCAGGACCAGTCAGTTGCCGAACATACCCCAAACACTCGTTCGTCTGTCTGTCCAGGTAATGAACATCATTTTTAGCGTGTGTGAAGAAAGGAAAAGATTTTATAACTGCCGCAAAACATACACATGTGCACTAGTTCTGGTGCGTAATATGGTAGAATTTGAAGAAATACTGTGTCGTCCAAATGTGGTCCATTCCCAGGTAGGATGCATGTTGTGGTGGGGCCTGTCCCACCTCTGCCATTCACTGGCCTTTGTTATGTGGGTCCATGAGCTCACACCACCATTGTATTTAGCCCTCCACATTTCTTTTCCTTTCTTGTCTCCTGTGCTTAGCACAATCAACACACTTCTTGTGCCCACGAACCCAAGAATGCAACGCATGAGATGATGTTCAAGCATTAGAAGGAGGACCGGAGTTGAATACTCCGAAGGGCTCAGAGAAAGGAGATTGTGGACTACCGCAATGAGAACCTGGCGTATCTTAGGTAGAGCACAAAGGGTGGGAACGGACAGGCATGAATTCATTGATCACAAATTCGCCATATTAACTCCCGAACTTTAGGTGTCAAAGTCGTAAGACAAAGACTTGGTACCATTCAAAGCTCGACTCCTTGGCATATAGCGTAGAACTACCACACATGTATGTCAATATAATGTGATGGAAGTCTGATTTAACGTAGAGAAATGCCGAGAGGCTACCAATTTTGTCCGGTTGCTTCTGCTAACGGGTGCAGAAGTCGACAGGGAGTTTAGACTATCCGCTCCTGTTGCGTCACCCCGTCTAGAAGATGGAGAGGGACCAAGGGTCATGTAGTGGTGACGTCTACCGTCGTGACTTTCGAAGTTCGCAGGCTTTGAGCTTTTGGATAGTTGTTAGTTAGCGTGGTATTCCAAAGGCAAAGAGGAAAGGAGAAACAATACCCGACGTCTCAAGCACGAGCTTCCAAACCACCATCGTTGTCCTCCGCCTTTTTGCTACCCTCGAAGCCCTCCCAAACCTCTTGATCCGTACCAACACAAGACATCACATACATCCACCGTCTCTCGTCCTCAGGAAAGTCCACACCACCAGTAGCAACGCACAGCTTCTCCGACTTGGCTGAATTGACATCGGCAATATACGCAATCACCCTTTCCACCTGCGATACATGGCAAACAGCCGCGTACGTTCCATCGCGACCCAACAGACTGACGAAGCTCTGGGGGGCATTGAGCAGCTTGTTCGAAGGGGGGACGACGTTTTCCTGGCGGTTCTTGACCCAGACTTGGTGCGCAGGGAGCCAGACGACGGGCTGGTTGGCGGAAATTCCAGTGGCACTGTCAGCGAGAGAAGGAGGGTATTCCTTGTCGCTGAGAAGGAGGAAGCGACTGGAACGACGGCGTGACTGAGAAGCAGGTGGAATGATGTAGCGAGAGCGGCCCTGTGGGATAGTTGGGAGGGGGTTTGTGGCGTGAGGCGAGGGAGCTTCGTAGCGGAGCAGGCGAGCGGCCATGGTGGATTTGAGGTCGGGGGTTACGGCGATGTTGATGCCGATGTAGTTGACGCAGCCTTCGGTGAGGAGGCTGATGGAGGGGAGAGGGCCCCGGGAGGATTCAGCTGCATTGATAGGGGCGGTCATTTTGGTTCTGGGCTCGATCGAAAGTGATGGTGCGTTGCAGTTGCGCCGTCGGCTCTCTAGACTTGGTTCCGGACCTCACGATTGCCAGCGATGATGCTGTTTACAGATGCAATTCAGTTAATGCTCAGGTTGGTGTTGGTGGCAGAAAAGTGGTAGGAGGCAATGTAGGGTGGATAACGGTGAATGGAGTCTTGATCTTGGACCCGACTGGGCATGTCAAATATGCGACCTTTGACCCTGCAATGCAGGCCACCTCCAAGCCACGAACCTGCAACCCTTTTATTTTTATTTTTTATTGTGCATGCACGAATCTGTCCCTGGGGGATATCTGTCTGTGTTGACTTGCAGTTTGTGATACGTAGACTTAAAGCAGACCAGAAATATTCCAGACAGCATTTAAATAGCTGTCCCTCCAGGCCTTCTCCATGTCTTCCGCATTTTCCCTTCACCCCATTTTCCATCTTCCTTTCCATCTCTTTTGAATCTCGACCGACCACACCACGCCAACCTTCAAAACAAACTCAAATTCCATCCAAACATCTACCTTGAAGCGGTTACCCTACCACCCACGACTTGTCGATTACACGAACAGTGTTGATGCCATCTGCACAAATATACACTTTGACGCAAACCAACCTTTCAATGCCTTTCCCCGAAATGTACGAGTCTGACGGGGAGGACCCCGTGATCCCAACAATGCCGACGTTTGAGCCCTGTCCCGCTCCGAAGACGAAATCGGGGGATATGTTTGTCCCAATCAACAAGGAGACAGCAAAGCTCCTGAGCATGAGCTCACAGCTCGCCTATACGACGATGGATCTCGACTCATCAAAGCTGCAAGCCATGAACCTGGCGGCTGCTCTCGAGACCAAGAACGCCGAGCTTCAGCAGCTCAAGGCCAACTTGGAAAAGGAGAGGATAAAGTCAGAAGCCTTGAGAAAAACTGTCAGAGACAATACAGTACTTGTACAGAACAAAGCCATCGAGAAGCTCAAGAACGGGTATATAAAGCAACTAGCCAATAAGTATGATGTAGATCACAGCCACTCGGCCGTAATTGTTCTGAGGCTTCAGGAGGTGGCGCTGCGTGCATCCCTAAAGTTGACTGAGAAGCATCGAGACGAGGCTTTTGCCCAGACGCTCAGGATGCAACAGCGTGTGGAGGATATGGAAGAGGACGTGGCCTGCATGAATGAGCTCCTGCAAGCCAACGAGGATCTCCGCTGGCTTTCCGGGGAACACAAGCGCGAGATCCAAAGGCTGCACGGCATGGAGAACAAGGTGGATCGTATCGATGCCATCATCAGGAAGTCGTTTGAGAATGCGGACACCAAGATGATCAGTCTCAACGGCTTCTACGATACCGAAGGATTCCTTCAGCTGTTGCTCGACCGCGACAGATCCAGGGCCAGGGAGCTGGAACACGTCAAGAAACAGTTGGCTGAGGCTAAAAACACCAAAATGGAATCACCCAAAAAGGAAGAACTTATCCCGAGGAAGAATCGACAGAAAAGGCGGTGGCAAACGTCTCGACATAATTGACGAGTGAGAGAAGAAACGAGGAAAGGACCTGCGAGACAGGTTGCGGTGGTTGGTCTCCCTGCTTCCCGAGCGGACATCTTTCATCTACCAGAGGATGGAAGGAACAAAGGGATTGTGACGGATAATCAACTGTGACTTCCCTCTTCTTCCACTCGTCGAATTCAAGACCACCACACCCACAAAATCCAAGCCCTCGCAAAATTTTCTTCCACAGTACTCCAACCTTTTTGATCCTCGAATTTCCAGCAACAACTTCCAGCGTCGAATCCTGCGAGCCAGACGCCAGTAACCAAAACCAACTTTGAGGCTGCAAACCACCCCGAAAATGGCCGCACAACCCCCCTCCAAGGAGCTCGAGCAGTCCGAGCAGGCCCCGGCCTCCCTGCCCCAAGCCGACCAAGTCCCCGCCAAACGCAAGGCAACGGAGGAGCTTCAACACAGCCGCCGGCCCCCGACACAACCTGGCACTCTACCCTTTATTTGGAACCTCCCTACCACGCCTTCTCTGCCCATCTTCTACGCCGATGCGACACTCGTTCCATCTGACGATGAGTACGACTCTGAAGACGAACTTGAGCTCGAGAGCGACGAAGTGGTCGACGAGCTTGCCAAGACCAAGCAGCAGCTGTACGAAGCGAAGAAGAAGATTGCTGCCCTCGCGAAGCGATTGAGGATGTACCAAGTCACTGTGCTCCCGATGGACTACAAACTCGTTGACGAGCCTGTCAAGGAGCCTGTCAAGGAGAAGAGTGCTATTGAGCGCGAAGCGGACGCATTAAGGGTGTTCAGCTTGAAGCAATGGGAGGAGCACTTGAAGAGTGAGGACGAGAAGGGGAATGAGTATGACAAGATTGAGGACTACCGCGCTGTCTTCGAGGACGTAGAGTGGGCAGTGCATGAACATCACAGACTCGTGCATCTGGCTCTCGGGGAACTTCGAAAGGGGCGCACTGGCCCCGCGGGCAGTATTGATGACTACAAGCCAGGACAGCTTCCCATGTATATATTGGATAAGTCCCAGTGTAGCGTTAGCTGTGATGTTGAAAGCTTAAAGAGGCTCTTCGAATGCATCCTGAAGAAGGCGGGCATTGTGTACTCAGTTGAATTTTCGTCTTATTTGGTGGTTTGGCCTTCGGCATTCAGACAAAGAATATGTAGCAGCACCATTACCCATGCTGTACACACTGCACTACGGAATGACAGGCGGTTTATTTTTTTCACAGGGACGGGAGGAAACAAGGGTTCAATGTTGCAATTATCATCAGGACAAGGGACAGTAAGGATTCGGAAAGTTCTTGTATCTTACCAATGTTTCAGCACTCGATCATTTGTAATTCTTGCGAGAACAATATCAGTATGTGTGGCCCTCCAAAGCGTATCGTTCCTTCCTTCTTCGTGAGCAAACCCACCTGCAGGCTTTCCCTCCACGGAAAATTCTGCGCTTGTCACACAAAATCAGAAAAGAAAGAAACATTAAAAGGAAAAGAAAATACAATTCAAAGAAGCTCCTCTTGCAAACAAGAGTCAAGAGATATCAACGGATTTGCCAGTTCCTCTCAGGCCCGAAGACAACATCCAGGGAAGCTGCGGGTGCAATTTGTACCACGTGTTTGTTCGGTAAGCGTTGGGCCAGAAACTCCAAAAGCCATCCGCAACCTCCACGATAGTACTGACTTTCCTCAAGAGCGAAGTTCGCATACATCGAATTCAGCAAGCAGGATACAAATTCATCATGTCGAGACAACCTCCCGAAAGCTGCGGCCATGGTTCAGTCTCCCAAGTCGCGACCGATTCAGCATCCGCTATCGAGATATTTGAGCCTGACGAGGATATGGTCGAAGCAGATCAGGATCCCGTCTACTATGAAATTGACGGCTCGCGCTTCTACGAGGCATGTGTGAGAGACAAGCCTCGGCGTGAGCTTCCTTCATTGTTGGTCGCTCAGCCCAATCAGCCTGTTTCGCCTCAATCCGACCTCAAAGGACCCTCGGCTTCGTCGCCGTCTTCCCCTTCGCCTTGCCCCGAGACCAAGAACGCTGACATCACCGACATCAACAACAAAAACAACAATGAGGAGACATGGGATCGAGAACTGGAAGCCGCGCGAGAAGCTGGCGCGGACTGAGGAGCGATTGGAAGAACAAGCAACGGAGCTGGTGCGTCGTCGGTCAAGAGAGCTCAACCGCTACATCGGTTATGTCCAGGCAATTCACCACAGGATGGAGGATGATGGTGACACTATCTGTTCTTTACGCAGGAAACTGATGGCTGCTGGGATCAAGTATGAAGATTGGAAAGGCATTGACGCTTTGTTGATGAACTTGGAGGACAGTTGCGAGCGGTCAAGCGAGGATATCATCAATGTTGCGTTTGAGTTCCAGAAGGATATTGACAGGGTGGACTGAACGGAATGTGTGTTGAGCTTCCGTCTCGAACCACGGAGCGCAAATGAATGGCGGTTGTATTAATACGGTATTCCGCAGAAGTTCTACATAATTCTAATAGAAACGCGCGTGCTGGAATTTGCTTTCAGACACGCTCCTTCCCCTCGTCACAATTTTGTTTTCGCGCCATCGCTCTCTTTCCCAACACCCCTCCTTATGAGCCCGGGAACAGGATGCACTGGCTCCAACACTCTTGAGTGGAAGGTAAATTGATCCTTGCCTTGCAATCAACCACTCCTGTATTGACGCATGACGCTCGCCACAGGCACGACTCTCCCTCGCAGATCAACATTATGATGGCTTCAAACGATCCTGTCGCGGACGACGCGCCGACAAGCAACAGCCCCCAAGTAGGACAGGTTCCTGCCTTAGCCGTGCCTGCCCACCCTGCCTTCACTTCGACCTCGTTGCCGCACCTGGAGCTATGCCATTTTTTCTACATGGTTCTTCTGTGGAAAGTAGGTTCTGTCAGTAAAGTAGGTGGTAGGTAGTAGCCGAGTGTTTTAGTGTCGAAGGAGAGTTGGACTTTGGAGGTATTAAACGTCGGTTGGATATAACCACGATGCAGGAGGGTGTCTGTCAGGCACTCTTCTTCCATTTATAACGCTGAACTACATCTGCATGTATATATATACAATATTGAAAAGAAACCAACAAAAAACATATCCTTCAATCAAGGTGTGTTGTGCTCTGAGGAAATGCATAAAGATTGCGGATGTAAAAACAACAAAAAGTTTGCGGTTTGTGTGGATCGAACACACGACCTTCAGATTTATGAGTGAAGTGGACTTCAGTCTGACGCTCTCCCAACTGAGCTAAACCCGCTTGATACCAATCTAACCAAATTGCCACCTTATGGCTGGATCCAAAACTGCGTGCACGTCCCCTGTAATGCACACAATTACACATTTTCTATACGCCGCCCAGATATCGCTTGACATCCAGCCAACATTCAAAACTGTGAAAATATTGAATCCTATTGCCATGCCATTACATTAAACTAGATAGATGAGAACCCGAGCTCCAGGTTGTTAGCGCGAGACCCAGAAGCTCTTGCTCTTAGTCCCACACTCTCCCCCTTCCCTATCTATGGACCCCCAAATTATTTCTCGTACGGATTATGCGGGTTATTCACAGCATAGTGATAATTTCCCCAATGCCTCTGCCACCAGCTAGGCCTATGGTGCGCCGCCGGCCTGGTCAGCTCGCTCGTGCACTCGCTGTTGATATTCCTCCTCCGCGTATTCTCCTGGCACTTGCACCTGCACCCGGTCCCGCCCTCGGAGGGGGTCGTCATCTTGCCCGTGTCGCCCAACGCCTTGTTGCCGAGCAGCTGCTTATCCATGGCCGCGTTTCCGGGACACTGCCAGAGCGTGTCGTGCTCGTAGCCGATATCCGAGAAGTGGTGGATCTTCTCGGGAGGCAGAAGCATGTGCACGGCCAGCGTGTGGACGGGGGCGTCGCCCCACCGCTCCGAGTAGAACCCGCCCTTGCTGTCCAGGTAGCGGAAGTAGTCCTGGTAGGTGTCACTGCGGAAGAAGTCGAGGTTGGCGATCTCAAAGTTGCTCCAGTAGTGGCACATGTTCCACTTGTTGCCCGAGTTGTCGTGCTCTGAGAGCCCCAAGAGACCGAGGAACCAGCGCACGGGGGCCGGGAACCACATCACTTGGAACAGCGCGTTCCAGGCCGGGCTACGGGGAATGCCCTTTTCGATGCGGTAGTCGTCGGTCGTCTTGAATAGGGTCGGGCAGGTCTCGCCCATCTCCCAGAGCGCGATCGTCCAGCCGTAGACCTTGTTGCGCTTCGCCATCTCGGCGAAGGGGTCGTACGTGAGGGCGCAGCTGTAGCGCACGCTGGGCTCGAGGCGCCAGTACCATTTGTATGGTTTCAGGGCTTCGAGGTTGTAGAACTCGCTGTATTTTTGGTAAAAGGATTAGCATTGAGGGGGCCTGTAACATGAAAATGGACCGGGAGACGTACCCAGAGTAAAACCGACACATGTGATGATAACTCTCCATATCACCATAGTTGACTCCCTTCTCACCCTGCTTCTTCATCTGCAACTTGGCCTTGGTCTTCTCCTTCTCATTCATCTTCTCGGGGAACCCCCACTTGCCCTTGTCGATGATCTCAAACTTCACTTCAGTCCCATTGCTCACGGCCCTGCTTAGAACATCTTTGAACTCATCGCTCCACGGCACGTCGTTCAGGAACAAGATCGGGTAGTGGAACCACCGGTTGAACTGCCACTCGATATTCTCCACCGTCAATCTTGCATCTTCGATCTCGCTGTTTCGCGCCAGCATGACAAACGTGGCGTTCTCGCGCGGCTGCGCGGCCATAACGGATGGGTCCAGACATCCTGTCGTAAACGGCTGGTCGAGATCCTGGTCGGGGCGCGCTACTCGCGTGCGGTATAGGTGAATGGGAAGGTCGATCAAGAAGTAGAGGACGAGGAGCGGGATGGCGAATTTGAGGAGGAGCTTGATGCGGCGGCGACTGCGCCCGTTGCGCCCTGAGCGTCGGAGTCGTCGAAATTGCAACATGAGGATTTGTCCAAGTCGCGCCAGCAGGTCAAAGGTGAGAGCCAACATGCCCGGCTGGGAAGATGCGCGGTAGTGGCCCATCTTTTTCAAATGTGAGATGACAGCAGCTGGCCAGGGCTTTTCGTTCCGTGTGGTTGGCTTTTGTGAGTTTGCACCTACCGCATATCCTCAAATATACACTCACAAACAGCCAAGGATCGCCAGATTTGATGCAGGTCGGTGGCAGAGTGTGGCATCTAATAAAGACGATCAACAACTCTGCCGCCTATTCAACGGTCCATTTTGCTGTCGCAACGAGCAAGGGCACAGCCGCCAAAGTTAACAACCAACAGTCCTATTTTGTGCCGTATATCCATGGTGGGATTCCCTTCTTGATCAGCTATTGTCTTGGCTCTCGTAGACTGATGAGATGTTGAAGGGCGAGAACAAAGGAAGAACAAAGAGAAGAGAACCAACAAACTTTACGTCCCTTGCCACTAAGCTTTGCCGGGTTTGGTAGGTAAAGTCCTTTGGGTTAGTGATGACCGAGAAACCAATGGCACCCACTATAAAGTGTACGATGTTACAGTGGTTTCGTAGCGATGACTGAACGGGGCCGTAAGCCGTTGCTGGCCAGTGAAAGGCCTGGTACAACCTGAAGGCCGGAGATTGCAGAGGGACACTCATGTGATGATTGTTGAGGCAGGAGAACGCTAACCCGCGGTGAAGGGAAGCCATCAGAGTTTTATGTTGTTTGTAGAGGGGCAGTTGAGACAGTGTAAACAAAGCGTCGCATTCCATCGGCGCGAACCCGCGCACGGGAAAGGGGTATGTATGTACCAGTACGTAAATTACAGGCAGCCATTTCGGAAAATCTGCAGGTCCGATGGCATTGACAGCCAGATGGCAATGCAGACAGGAGGTGCACATAACAGTACATACTCTTGCATGTTGACGTCACATTTCTTCGCATGCAAACGATCCTCCACAGGTCTTCTGACCCAAATCGAACCTTTGCGAAAGTTTGACACATTGATCACGGTGAAAGGACCAGCGAATGACGGCGGATGACCGGTGGACGCCGGGCTCCGGGAGCGGTGTTTGAGAATCAAAGGGTCACCGCCGGCGCTGGCCCCCCGGCTTTAGCCCCATACTTTTCCGAAATCCAGACCGGACACTCTCGGAGACTTTGCCCTGACGGCCTTGGTCCGGGATTCCCAAGGTGCGCCTGCATGGTGCCAAGCCGGCTTGTTACGTGAGAGAAACTCATTCTTCTCCGACAGCAGCAACTGCCACAGCGAAGCCGCCATCACGCTAACACAGTGGTGGGACCGAATAATGAGCCCGTGCCAGTGATGTTGGACGTTTTGTTCGCCCAGAGAAGACTCAGAGAAGCCCGGGAAGGCTCTCCGCCATTCCAGATTCCAGCCACCCTGCCACCACCCCGCGATTTGTAAAGAAAGTTTTTTCTCGCCTTGAATCCCTGTCAGGCCTGTTGAAGCCCGCTTTGTCCCCCACCCGGCCCTCCACACTTAAGGGCCAGATACCGCCACTTCTTGTCACAGTGACTGAAACCGAAGAACGTTCAATTCTCTTATCTCAGAGAAGAACATCATCTTTTTCGTTATCCTCGTCCCTGAACGAGCAGGAGAAAGCCCTGACCAACACTCCTTTCCCGAACCTTGGAAGTTATCTTTCGAGACTCGAGAATCATCTGTCGGCAACAACCCTGGATAAATGACCCTAGGTCGTCAAGCTCCTAATGCAGAGGACAGCTGCCTAAAAAAACCATCAGCAGCCCCCCGTGGGCGAGTCATTGTCATCACTCCCGACCTTTATCGACTCCCCCAGCGACCAGGAAAAGAGTAGATCGTTCGTTTCAAAGCGCGAAGACCTCTCGGATGGACGAGACTCGGGACCGGAATCCGACACCATCCAAGACCTCAGCGACAACCCCGAGGATGAGGGCGCCAAGTGCGAGAACGGCCTTGCCCGGCAGCCGTCTGCGGCGACCACCGTAATCGACTTTCCCGAAGGTGGCCTGCAGGGCTGGCTGGTAGTGTTGGGGTCCTTTTGCGCCATGATATCCGTGTTTGGACTCATCAACTCTGCCGCCGTTTTCGAATCATATTTCTCGACACATCAGCTTGTCAACCACAGCGCATCCGAGATCGGATGGATCTTTTCCCTTTACCTCTTTATCGTCTTCTTTGTGGGCATCCAAGTCGGCCCCATTTTCGATCGGTATGGATCGCGCCTCTTGGTCGCCGTGGGTAGTATCCTGGTCGTCCTCAGCTTGATGTTGTTGAGCCTCAGCAAGAGTAAGTCCTTGCCATTTCTGCCCCTAGTTGCTTATGGCACATGGAGCTAACGACAGACACACAGCTTATTATCAGATCATGCTGACATACTCCGTGCTCGGTGGCTTGGGCGGTGCCCTTCTTAACTGCCCTGCGTACGGATCCATCACGCACTTTTTCAATGTGCGCCGCGGACTGGCAACAGGTGTTGCCACTATTTCCGGTGGCATCGGTGGTATCGTGTTTCCCATCATGTTGCGGTATACTCTCCCCTCGATTGGGTTCCCCTGGAGTTGCCGCATCCTCGGCTTCATTATGCTCGGCCTCGCCGTGCCAGCCAACCTTTTTATCAAGACCCGTCTGAAGCCCAAGGTCACCCACGAGAAACCCAAGATTTCGTCGCTTCTGCCCGACTTTTCTGGGTTCCGGGACCTTCGCTATGCCTTCTCGGCGATCGGTATCTTCTTCATGGAGTGGGGTCTGTTCATGCCCCTGACGTACATCGTCTCGTACGCGGCGGGGCATGGACAGGATGCGACTGAGAGCTATCTGCTCCTGTCGTACCTCAACGCCGGGTCTGTCTTGGGCCGTGTGCTCCCCGGTCTCTTTGCCGATCGCATCGGGCGGTTCAACGTGGTGATCATCACCATCTCGCTGTGCGTGATTCTCGTGCTGGCCATGTGGCTTCCGGCCGCCATGTCCAAGTCGGTGCTGATCGGATATGCCGTGCTCTTTGGATTTGCCAGCGGAAGCAACCTCGGTCTGGTGCCCGTGTGCCTCGGACAATTGTGTGACGCTCGGCAGTTTGGTCGGTACTACTCTACGGCCATGATGGTGGCCAGTTTCGGTACACTCAGCAGCGTGCCCATCGGCGGTGCCCTGTTGGAGATGGGCTCTGCCGAGACGGGCTGGCGAGCCGTCATCATCTTCTCGGGCCTATCATACGCCATCGCCCTGGCGTGTTATACCACCGCTCGTGTTCTCGCTGTCGGCTTCAACCCGCGGGTCAAGTTCTAGTCGGACGGCGGTGTTCTTTTTTGTTCGGTGCTGAGGAATTGGACATAGAAAAAAAAAAAAGCAGTTGAATAGGTAGATAATGTTAATGAGAAATGATCAACGCCGCAAAAGTTCTCGTTTGTGCAAAGAGTGAAAGTGTTAGTTTGAGATACGAAGGAAGTTAACGAAGGAAGTTGGTAACGAGAAGAAAAAGTGACATCTGCCAACTGAGGACAGGAAGAACGACGTGGTCCTGTGGCCGTGGAGGACATCCACTGCGCTCACCTCAGCTGAGGCCGTCGGGCGGTTAGGCTGCATGTCTCAGCCCACTGTTCCGCTGAAACCCCACCAAAGCCGTAGGGCTCAGGCACCCGCGACATCAAAACGCGGGGTGATTTCTCAGCAGACCCCGCTGCCAACCAGAAAATTTCAACCCCACATTCCATCGCAACACAAGCCTTCCATCCAGTGACAAAGAAAAACAAAACCGAAACATTTTCCAGCAACAACTGAAAGTCACAAGTGGGAGTCAACCACCAGACATTGTCACCCACAACAGCACACCTGTGATACACATACAATGTCTGGCGAACTAAACGCGGCACCGGTTCTGTCAACACCGGAAGACCACTTATTCGAATACGCCGTGGTCCCGACCGACGACACGGTCAAGACGAAACCAGACGATGAACTCAGCGACATCTATGAAATCTCCAGGACAGCAAAGGAGATTGGAGAGGGAGGGTGGAGGAGGATTGGTTTACAGTTTCCTGACCATATGCTCTGCGATGCCCCCAGAGTGGTCCAGCTTCTAGAGAAAGAGCTCGCTTCTCTACCTCAACCGACGGCGACGGCGACGACGACGACGTCTATCACAGACTGCCAGTCAACACCGACAGCATGCTCCGAGTCCGCCGCGACGAACAATGGACAATGCGGCCGTGATGCCCAAAAAAACGGTACATGCTGTGGGGGTGGTAAACAAGCATCGACACCATCAGAATCACAGCCCAAGGCCCGTCGAGTATATGTCCTTGCTGATACCTCGTACAGCGCTTGCTGCGTCGACGAGATTGCCGCCGAACACGTCAATGCCGATGTTGTTGTCCACTATGGCCGCTCGTGCCTCTCGCCTACTTCCCGTCTGCCCGTCATCTATGTCTTCACCAAGCACGTCCTCGACCGCGATGCTGCTCTCGCCGACTTCGAGAAGGAATACCCAGACAAGGAGGCCAAGGTGGTCCTTATGGCCGATGTCACATACCAAGTCCATGTCCAGTCGCTATTGTCGGAGCTCCAGAGCCGTGGCTACACCAACCTGCTAGCCACCGAGATTGTCCACAACCCCATGGGAAGGATACCAAACAGAAAGGTTGTGGACGCTGAAGGCAAAGAGGTTGAAATCAGCGACGGCAGCGAAACCTCGACAGATTTGAATCTCCGGGATTACTCCATTTTCCACGTCTCCCAGCCGCCAACCGCGCTTCTCCTCGCCCTGTGCTCCAGAGTCAAGAACCTCTACATCTTCCAGACCTCTTCCGATAGCTCCTCGCTGTACTCCGCCCAGCGCCTTCTTGGTCGCCGCTATGCCCGCCTCCTCTCCCTGACAACGGCTGGCATCATCGGTATCCTCGTCAACACCCTCTCGGTTTCCAACTACCTTTCCTCGATCGATAGCATCCGCAAGCAGATCGCTGCTGCCGGCAAAAAAAGCTACACAATGGTGGTTGGAAAGCTCAACCCAGCCAAGCTTGCCAACTTTGCCGAAATCGACGGCTGGGTTGTTGTCGGCTGCTGGGAGAGTTCTCTTATTGAGGATGATGCTGGCTTCTACAAGCCCGTCATTACCCCCTTTGAGCTCGAGCTTGCCCTCACCAGTGACGACGAAAGAATCTGGACTGGCAAGTGGTGGGGTGGCATCGAGGCTGTCAAGCCGCCGGTTGAGGAGAAGCTGGAGGAGAAGAAATCCGAGGATACCGATAACAACGAGACGACCAGTCACGAGCAAGCCTCTGGTGACGCCGATTCTGACAGCGAAGAGGAGTCCGCACCACCCGAGTTCGACTGGAGGTCAGGAAAGCTTGTCAGCCATAGTAGGCCCATGCGCATGGCCGCGTCGAAACCCAAGAGTGAAAAGAAGGAGGCTTCGTCTGACAAGCCGGATGCGCCGCCACGATCAAGCGCTTTGACCCTGAGATCCAAGGCTCAGGAGTTGGCATCAGTCAACGGCGTCGTTAGCCCAGGTGCAGAGTATCTTCGTACTCAGAGGACCTGGGTCGGTCTAGGTACCGATTTTGATGAGGAGGCTAGCATGACGATTGAAGAGGGAAGAGGTGGAGTGGCGAGAGGCTACAAGGTCGGCGAAGAGGGAGAGAAGGACTTGATGTCCTGAAGAGGAGGGCAGTTGATCTAGGTAGTAGACGCGGTTGGACAGCAATTACTGGTAGGGGTGATACCCAAAATGAAGAGCAAATGGATTGGAGAGACTTTTGGACTCGCAAACGCAATCATCGGGCCCCGAACACGACTCAGTTACTTGGGGGTTTGTTTCGCCTCTTATGGACTATTTGCTTCCCATCATTTACCATTACCAACGGGACTGATATCGTAGCGACTTCGACCTGCGCAACCACCACGCCTGAACTCTTGCTACCTCATCGTTCACTCCTCGCCAAACGTACGCAACGAACCAGCCTTTGCAACAGGCGCCACAAGCCTTCGCTCCCACTCGAATTCTACACATGGCCGACATGACCACATAAACAACCCGGCGGGCGATCATCCATCCCATCTGTGGACCGTCTAGCCTTGTACGGCGGGGGCGGTGTCGCCTCCCTCGCCTGCCCTTTGTGCGTCGCCTCCATCTCCCACGCTTCCTGTCGTCTTCCTTCTCGATGTTGCTGCGGTGGCTGTTCCTGTCGCGTCTCTTCCTGCATGTAAGCCAGGGGGTAGACACTATCCAGCGGTGTTCCCCTCGTCGGCGGTACCCTGAGTCCCACGCGTGTATGTCTCTGGAGTCGGTTCCGATGCAAAGAGCGACGGTCAGGACCAGCAGCATGGCGCCACCATCCCGAAGTCGTGCGAATCATGTATCTTCCTCCTCTTTCTCTGCCGCTGTATCTGTCTCTGGTGTCAGTACCGCCGGTTCTACCGCCGTGCAGATGGTAGTTGAGGGAATGTGCGTATGGGAGGTGCATGTGCTCTCTTCTCATGCCTCTTTGTCCGGTGAGGGGTGGGAGGTGCTGGAATTGGGACTCGAGCTCATCGCTCTTCTTCTTCTTCGGAGAAAGACAAGAGTAGCACCGCCAGATGAACGTGCTGAGGATGGCAATGGCCAGGGCGCTGAAAAGAATGAACATGGGGATCTTGTACTTCTGGTAGAAGCCATCGGCCGGGACGTCTTCCGGTCTGGTGCCGTCGGCGGCGGTGGTGGAGTTGTCCTGGGTCAAGTCGCCGGTGTCAGTTGAGCACGAAATCACGGAGGGTATTGGGTTGCGGAAAGATGACGCAGGACCTAAGGAGGCCGATACTTACCATGGCTGATCGATGAGTACAGTTCCTTCAGCAAAATGGCAATTTGCGCAATCTTCACGGGATACCGAACTCTTCCCATGAGCTTGCTCTTCCAGGAACAAGTCGAAGGGGGAAAAAATGGACAACAGGCAAACCGACGACAAAACCGCTTCATGAAGGAAAATGTATCCAGAAGGAAATCACCATGAGTCACCTGGACAGACAACACCAAAAGGCCACACAACAATATGCTTCGTAGGACATCGGGCATGCACTGCTTGCTATTGTTCATTTATCATCGTGCGAAATCTGGAGGTAACGATTGTCGTGTGAACTAACCAACGCATGGGAAATGAGCATGGCGCACGCAGCGTGTGGAAGTTCGGATGAGAACCCTCATGGCCAGCCACCTTGGCATCCACCTCCCCGGGAACACTGGTATTATGCCCTCGTGCCGGAGATCGGACGGAGGTCGGAGTGACAGGAGTCGCTATTATTCTTCCCGCTTACCGGTACCAGATACCCACGCGATGCCCACCAAGTCGTGTGTCCGCATCGCCACACACAGTACCTCCCAGCCGGCCGGTGTGTATCAAGGCATCAACGCATCGCTAGCCTATCCCGTCCCTGTTCCTCAAACCATCCCATCATCCTACTCCATATCCATTGGCCTCATCACGTTTACTCGTACCTAGGTCCTAGTCCTAGCGGGGTGCGCCAGACCTCCATCACTTGGGCCCTGGGAGTGCCCTTTGGTCCAGGCATGCTTGATTCGCCGGACACTGGCGACAAGCTAGACACTCCCGGCATACCGGACACTGCCGGCATTCTGGCCACCGGCACTTCCGCCCCGGCCGCTCTCGTCGGCATCGCCTCCAACACCTGCATTTGTGGCAACCACATGTTTCCCGTTCCTTTTTCCATTGTCCCTCTTCTAGATGTGCGGGTGAGTGTTCCCACATGTGCCAGTCCACTCGTGCGCCGCCGCCGTCGAGGAGGAAGATGAAGCGGGGAATGGCGCGGAGACAGCCCCAGGACATAGTTGATGCGGATTTGATGGTGTCCGATTTCGATGATGCAGTGTCGGCGTAACGGTGTCGGACGTGATCCTAGATGGTGCTGTGCTTGGTGCGTTTACTGGATTTGAGGGAGGGATGGGAGCTTGGTGATGCGATGGTTTGGTTGCGAGCACTAACCGCGGATGAGACGAATGTGAGGCGGACGTAAGTGTTCGTTTTCAGTCGGTCCCTTCGTACCCTATATGCTTAGAAGTTGTAATTTCTTGTTTTCCATCTTCCTCGTCATGCAAGCGTTGAGCTGAACATCTTATAGCTGAATGTCTACAAAGACGATGTCGATGAAGCAGTGCACAACAATGAGTCTGTTATCGACTCAATGACATGGTCATTTCTGGCGACAATTAGACCAGTCATCTGTATCGTCTGTGAATGGTGTCACAACTGACATCTCACAGACCTTACTGTTAACAATGAGGGCGCAAACGCTCGTCGTTAGGATGTCTTCCCACCTCCCAATTGCCCGCGCTTGGTGTTACAGATGCGAATTGTCCATTCAGCACTGGCACAACAAGAAACCGGCTCAAATTTCGTCGACCCTCTCGAAGGGTATCTATCATTATCAGCCCGTGACCATCGTGTTCATCGGGCGCCAACTTGCGCGCACGCACCGACCATTGACCGCCTTCACGCGTCACCAAGAGCCACCAAGAGCGGCGGCCATATCAGAACTGAATCTCATCTGGGAAAATCTCGCCAAGCTCAACGCACGAAGAACGACAGCCAACATGTTTCTTCCACACACACACCTATTGTTTCGCCTAGGTAGCGTGAAAGTCTTTTCAACAGAAACATCACCACCCCTTTTCTACACCCAAGTTTTGTTCGAGAACCGACCGACCAGGGTTTTTCGAAATTTTGTTGGTTCCAAGAAGCTTTTACATCGCTACTATAAACGGGCGTGGCGCTACCGTCGGCGATTTGGAAGGTAGGTATTATATCGAAGACAAGAAACAAGCTATTTAGCGAGCGAGATGATCTTCGAACTTAACTTGGTTTTACTAATTATCCAAAGTTTCAAAACGGATGTCCCTGGCGGTAATGGAAACATTTACTTGCGTGCACTCAGATTATGGAGGAAGATATGGGTGCGGATAGGTACGCTTCTCTTTGGGTGTTATCGTTGGGTTACTTGGCGATTCTTGACGGCGTTACACTAGGAAAGATTATGCGAGCGATTACCCCTGGACCCCTGGATCTTGCAACCTCTCAAACTCTACACTCGCTAACGCCACTCTCCTCCACGAGTTGGAAGGCATCGAACTTTCCACCTCCCGAAAAGAAAAAGAAGAAGGAAGAGAAAACGGCATCTCAAAACAATTATCTTAATCCATCAAGTCATGTTTGTTTGTCATCTTTCTCGAACACACGTGAGTATGGCAACCATCTCCATCAACCGTCAGCTTGGACCCACCGACATAAGACCGGTTGAGTTGCGAGTCCGGTCGTCTCAAGTCGCAACCCCTATGGATGTCACCTGACTCGTACGAGTCTCACAAAATGCAAAAGCATATACTTGGGCAAAATAAGGCCCATACACGATGATGCCGTTGAAACTCCAAGAAGTTACGTCCCTCAGGGTTCACTTGTCTTCACTTCCCAAAACACCACATCAACCCTGTCCATATCAGCGAGATCCCTGCTGCACTCCAGAGCCTCAACCGACTTGGATCTCACTTGTCCGGGAATAAGCTTCAATGAGATCGAGTCGATCAGGGATTGACCGGCAAGACATACCGAAGGAGGAACAAGAAACACCAACGTATGTCCTGCTATCAGAATCTGCATACAGTTTCATTTGGGAGCCCCTGAACTCCTCATCTCGAGTCTCCCAAGATGGAGAGTATTTAGAGTCTTTCGATTGCCCTCTCATGACATGTTGATATTCCTTCACTCAGCAACTCTATCCAGTTCGTTCCAGCAATCCTCTCTTCTCTCCCTCTCTCTCTCATCCTCTCTTTTCTTTCTTCGCAGCCGGTCTGCTCCCCATCATATTCTCATCCACTTCAGTGTTTTGATTTTACCAAAGTCTTTCTCTCTTTACGACAAGTTACCATCTTTTCGACACTTTTTTTCATCCATCATGCGTTTCTCTACTACCTTGCCGCTGGCGGCTTTCGTTACCCTTGCCAGAGCTCATGGAGTTATTCTCGCCGCTCAGGGAGAGTCTGGTTCGCCACCATCAGTTGGATTCGGAGGTATGTGCCATGCACCAATCACTGGGTGATGCAAGTCCAGAGAGTTCAGTTCCAACTAACATCTTTCCCTTCTTTCAGTCAATCCCGAAATCGCCCGCAACTGCACCACCATCAACCCTTGCCAGCTCGATTCGACCATCATCCGCGATGCGGAGATCAAGGCGAACCTGGTCAACAACTGCGGCCGCACGCAGCTCGCCGGCAACATCGACGTGGCCGAAAACACCGAGGCAGCGCTCTCCGACGGTTCCGTGACCCAAGTGAGGGCAGGCAGCAAGATCACGGTGACGATTCACCAGGTCAACGCCGATGGCGCCGGCCCTTATGTCTGCGACCTGGACGAGGCCTCCAACTCGGGTCTCATCAGCCAGAACCTGACCGTCACCAACAATGTGCCCGGAGCCAACGGCATCTCGCAGAACAAGATCCAGGAGTTCAACTTTACCGTGACGATGCCGGATAACTTTAAGTGCACTGGCGGTATGTTTACCTTTTCGCTGTCTCTTTTACCAGCATAAACTGACCCTGTTGCCCACAGCCTCAACAGGCGACATCTGCACCGTCCGGTGCCGCAACAACGCCGTCGCCGGTCCCTTTGGCGGCTGCTTCGCCGTCCAACAAGTCGACACCGAGCCGACCACCAACACGCCCGACTCGGTCGCCACATTCAAGTCCATCGACCAGATCGAGGACGAGCGCATGATCAACGTGGCCACGCTACCCATCGCCGTCGAAGCTAACCGCAAGGCCGGCTCCAGCGAAGCCCAACAGAACGCCGCCGCCGTCGACGCCATCCTCAAGGCCGGTTTCGTGAGCAAGTCCGCCCCCGTGCTCACGCCGACCGTGGTACTCGGTGGTAACGGCGCCGTGGCTACCGGTACTGCTACCGGTGGAAACGCGGTGGCTACGGGTGGTGCTGGTGCTGGTAATGGTACTGGCCGTAACAACGGTGGCAACAATAACAACGCTGGAGCTGGCACCGCAGTGGCTTCCGCCCCAGCTGCCACGAACACCGCTCGTGTCCGCAAGGGAAAGAACAGGGGTACTCAGAACGGCGGCGGTCAGGACCAGACTCAGAACCAGCAGCAACAGCAGCAGAACGGTCAGAACCAGAACCAGAACCAGCAAAACCAGAACTAGAGCTCTTGAAAGGCAGAAAGAGATTCAGAGGCAGAAAAATCTACCCAACTAACGGGAACGGGGACTGGAACGGGAACGACATATGGAGTAGTGGTAGTAGTAGAAGTAGTACTGGTAGACATGAGAAATCGAAGCGATGATTTAAGATAAGACGGCGGGGAACCTTGGCTGGAACTGAGAACTGGAGTTAGACATAGCACTACATACTAGGTAACTAGTCCTACTTGATTTAATCTAAGCACGATTGCTGAATTCTAGCTTCCGCAACAGAATGGAAGAATTAATTGTTTCATGTTGTTGTGACTGAGTGAGTTGGGTTTGTAGTGCAATGCAATGCGAATGTACGGTGAATAGGTACCTCTAAATGAGTGCAAAGGAAGTATACACAGAAGTAGCACGGTTTTACATTTGGCCTTCAAAGGTTTTTAAGCTCTTTGTCATGTCCTGCTACCATGGCTCCATGGCTGGCCGTGAAGGTCCAAGGGTCGTCACTTGTCAACCGTCCTACGGATGTAACCCAGCCAATGGAATACGCCCTTTGCAAATTGCATGGAGATTAAAAACCCGTACCCAACTTCGGTATTTGTCCATGCATCGCATGGTTCATCATGCACAGCCGGATCACATTTGATCACACTTGATCATATAAGCATTTGTGATCCATGACCCCGCTTCCTGGTCACGGCCGGGGCCGGGCAGCAAAGGGTTGAGTGGAACAGGAAGTGGAAGTTGGTTCAGATGGGGAAATCCGACTTTGTGAACTGTGTGGCTTGTCCCTCCCTTTCTCTTCCAGTTGTTTTTTGCTTCACGATGATTCTTCCCTCAAAGACCAAAGGAGGAAATTACATTCTTCCTCCGCGCGAGTACGACGGGAGGCGTTGGCCGTTGGATGAATCGGACCAATAATGCACGGCAGATGCGATCGTCTGTCGGCATTCTCGTTGGATGCCCGCCCACCATGCTTTCCCAACGGCTCGCAACGGAGTAACGGTTCACAATCCTCACAGAAATGGAAAGTAGCAACAGACGGATGTTTGCAAAGAGAAGTGCCAGTCACGCACAAGCACCTTCGTCAGTTCCCGTTCAAGCTGCACCCCAACCTCTGGGGCTCGCTTGCCGGTTAAAGTCGCCGAGTCTATGAGCACGGGACGACACTATGCTACTCTGTGCTTCGGGTGAATTCATTTCGAATGTGAAGGGTAGTACCAGATGACGAGTTTCTTGGATCACATGTTCCAGATTTTGTTGGACAATCGTGACATGCAACTGGCTGGCCATGGACGAGTTGTAAAAGGTTGATGTATGTGGACGAGTCGAGTCAAGGAGAATATGGAAATGTGGAATTGAAGGGACAAGTATTTGATGATGACACCCTCACTATCTTGTTGTATTGGGCGGGGTGTTATGGGACGATAGGGATCATGGAATTGGAATTGGGGGGAAATACATAAGTCTGATGATCAGTCCTTCCTACCCGGGATTTGGAGCTCGTGTAGTTCCATCATCATCAAACACACAAAGCTCCAATTACCAGACTACCCGTCTCGGTTACAAGACTGCTCTGCTCGGTGCACCATCATTCCTATTCCTATCCATCCATCCAACACCCAGAGCAATCAAGGACAGCAACAACAACAATGTCCTCACTTCTACCAAAACGTCTCCTACCCACGATCATCTACCTCACCATCCTTCTCACCTCATCATCACCCACCCCCTCCCTCGCCGCCCCCGCCCCCTTACCAGCCGCCGCCGAACCCAGCGCCCCCGACGTAACAAAACTCTTCAACGGCCTAGGCCACATCTTTGTCCTAAACGCCACATCCTACAGCGACGCCTCGATTTCCGACACCATCGGCTGTCTCTCCGACACGGGCTACGTGGTTTCCACTTTTTCTGGATTTGTGTCTGAGTCCGAGTCTCAGTCCAAGTCCAACTGCGCCGTCTTCAGCACCATCACTTCGTACCCCAAGACCATCAATTCCAGAATAGGCGGGTGCAGTTTCGGCAACCAGGCGATGCCGACGAACGAGGATAGTAAATATGGTGCGCGACAGCATGCTTGGAGCTGCAACGAGGATGCGGGGATGGTGCCGGAGGGGGAGAGGTATTATACTATTGTGAGTCTGGTCTTTTTGTGTACAATCCTATATGACACATGAATAAATGAATGAATGAATGAAAGGGATGTATGCTAACGGGATGACGCGCAGAACGGCTTCAAACACCCCTTCATCTGCAACGGCAATCTCAACTGCTACTACGATATTCCCAGGGCGCCACTGCCAGCGCCGTCGTCGTCGTCCAAGGAAGACAGCAACACCAAAAAGGACAAGGTGTTTGTGTGGCAGTATGCGTGGGGAAGTGAGCAGATGGGGATAACGCCGGGACATTTGCAGGTTTTGTGGATGTGGGTGCCGGTTGGTACCAAGGCCGAGTGAGAGTGAGAACCGTTTTGGTTTTTCTTTCCCCGCGAGAGATAAGCAAGGTCGGGTGCAAGTGGGATGAAGCAAGGAGTTTTGGAGTAAAGGTTGGATGGAATGGAATATCGTTATCATTAATTGTTTGTTTTGTTGCTGGTCATCAAGTAAGATGTCCGCCGTCGTTGCAAGCCGTTGCCCTGTTATGTGAAATGTCCAGCCTATCTACCATCTACTTATTTCCAGAACAAGTTTGTGTTGCTTTCCCACCTCGTTTTGGGGATTTCAGGGATATCCTGCGCTGCCTGCTTTATCCCCAATTCTAGTAACAGTTCCTTCAGGCGTGCACTCCTCCCATTTTCCCGCCCGGGGGTGTCGTCATATTAGCTTAGCTATTGCCGTTCTTCTTTCTATCCAATTCCTTACTAGGCTCGCGCCCTTTTCTTGCTTCTTATTACTTCCGCTGACTCCTCTTCCCACTCCCCATCCTCTCCAACAGTCCCAAATCCCACCACCCTTCCACCATCATCCCCCAAACCGTCTTTCTTCTCTTGGGCGGCAGGTTTGGGGTCTGTTGTTGCGGCAGCGGCAGCGATGGCGTCCGGCTGCTTGTTCCATCAATGGGAGTCCCCAGCGCCACGCTATCCATGCCCGGGCTGTTGTTGTTCCCATTAACGACATGCGCAAACTGCGAAGGTGAGCTAGGATGCACGATAATCGGCGGCGGCACTTCCTTCCGCTTGCAGCCCCTGCGGGCCATGAACGAGCCCAGTCCTCTCAGGCTCAGGGGTGACAGCGGGGAGCGCTGCGGCTGCGTCTGCGTTTGCGGGACAGCGCGCTTGTAATATTCTTGCGGGGTGATGTTATCGGTCGGCGAGTAGACCGAGGGAGAGATGATGGGGAATTCGGTGGTGATGGTGAGTGGTGGGTGGAGAGTGGCTCTTCCGGCGCCTACTTGTCCGTGGGTGTGGTGATTGTAAGTACCGTTACCGTGGGTGGCAAGAGGAACAGTCAGGGTGAGGTTGCTGGTGCTGGTGCTCCGGAATGCTGGATCGGCAACAGAGAGAGGCAAGGCCTCGGGAGCGCGGGACATGATGGGCGAGATGCCGTCGATCATGGTCCGCTCTTGTCTGGCGTCAATCGGAGAGCCGGGGATCGTGGGCATGATGCCTAGACCAACACGGCCACCGTTGCAGCAATGGCGGACAGGCGGCGGAGGCGCTAGACCACCGCTGGTGCGGAGCTGGTGCTCGGGGCTTGCTCCGCGACTGAGCGTGGAGGAGGCATCGGAGTCGATGCTGGACCTTGAGCCAGAGAGACTGCGACGGTTTTGGGGTAGGCCGGCTCTTGCGCGTATGGTCGGGACCGGAACGTCTTGAGGCTGACTGTTGTCGTATTGTTGGTCGTTGCTGCGGCGAGCGCCGCGGGTGATGGGCATGGGCGCCAACGGGGGGAGGAGGGAACTGTGGTGGAGCAGTGGTCGTGTTGTTGTTGTGGCCGTAAAGGGACACGTCCGACTCTGACTCCGACTTGTACAAGTAGTAGTTCTTCTCGCGAATCCCCCAGCCGGCGCCCGCGCGCCCCTAACCCTCAATGTCCTTCCTGCTGACAACTGTTGTGCCCCCACTAACGCGGCGCCAGAGACCGACGCAGACGATGCTGCTGAAGGCAAAGAGCACACAGAGAGCGATGGAGAGGCCCCAGATGGCCTTTGTCTCGTAGCAGGTGGGCTGGTCGATGTGAACAAAGGTGAAGTAGAGGCCATCATCGTGCGTCTCTTGGGACTTGACATGGAACGGAACGGATGTCCAGAAGTTGTTGGCGTCGGGGTCAGTGGGCATAAGAGCGCACTGGAGCTCGGAAAGGGGCTTTCCGAGTATCGAAGCGACGACGATGAAAGCGATCAGAAGTAGGCCATCGAGGATTCCGCTTAGGAGGTAGGGGAGCATAGCATCGTAGTAGAGGATGTATGAGATGACAACGTAGATGACAGCAATGACGGCCTGCTACATGTTAGTATCCTGTGCTAATGAGGAGTAGAAATAAGTCCCAACATACCACTACCAAAGTACCAAGAAGCTCCGAAGGAGATCCCAGTGACTTTGTGGAGAACTCATCGATGAAGTTTGCGCATAAGCCGATGGCGGCGATCAGTCCAGCGAACTGCAGTGCCCTCATAACCGAAAATGTGAGGCCCAGAGCACCCATTCGGTGAGCTTGGAAGTCCGTTCTGGCTCCTCCATGTGGGTTAAAGTCTGTGATGATTTCCAGGGATGGTCGCTTCTTGTGTGCTGTCCGGAGAGGGAAATGGGGTTTGACGGGGATTGGTGCCGTCGGGGGAGGCGGGAACTTTGTGTTGACCGTGGGCAGCATTGTAGATGATGTCCTGTGGAGGTGATACCAATGTGTGATGAGGATGAAAAAGAACTTTTCTCGTTGAGGTGTAGTTAACTATGCTTAGGAAAATGTTTGTCGACAGATCAACTGTTGACGAAGAGACGATGAAACACTGAGACTCGTTGCTGGCGTTGTTGCTGGGTGATAGGTAGTTTGTCGTCACAAGGAAAATGATCCAGACCGAAATTCCTCTAGAATGCCGAGATAGAACCCCAAGACCCAAAAGGAGATAAGAGAAACAGTAAAGGAAACCCAAAGGAAAAAAAGAAACAGAAAAGGAAAAGAGACACAAGGAAAAAGATGTGACTTGAAGAGTTTTGAAGTGTTTGTGGGATAGAAGACCATCAAGCAACAAAAGATGAGGTCGAAGACTGCCCTTCCGTCTTATGTATTCGTGGTACACAGCACAAACATGGTTAACGTTCAACAAGTTGTTCTAGACATGGCGATTATTCACAACCTTGGAAGTTTCACCATGGCCATGCTGCATGTCCCTCCCGTTTCCCGATCGGCCATGCTCATCATCGTATTCGACAATGTCCACCATCCCGGCTCTCGAAACAAGCGCGCCTAGGCCGATCGACAAATTGATAGGTCGCGCCATGGGTGAGTCGGAGAATTGAAGACTCAGAAGGAGTGGGATGTTGTGCGAATCTTCCACCAGCCTCTCTTTTTGTTTTGTCGTTGCACGCGGCGGTTGCTATTTTGATTGCCGTGTTTCGACGAGAACCTTAACGACGGGAGCTAGCGATGGTGGACTTGTCAAGGTTAGCGGGACTCAGTAGGCGCTCGTGCAACCAATAGGAGGGCCAGCCACAGGGGTTGAACTGCAGAGTGGAATTTTTGACATGGGTTAGGCTGGGGTTAAGGGTTGCACGCAATATCCACAGCGGTCACTAACAGCTGCTAACCGTCCAGCGCCTACATCAGCCAATCGATCTTCTACAAATCTCTTTTTCCGCGACGTCTTCTCTTTTCCTTCACCTTTCAGTGTTCTAAACCACATAACATGCCACAACGTCGAGAACCATGCCACGGCATCCACCGCTTTCTGCGATTCCCCATCCATTGGCTCTCGAAGGAGCAGAGTCGCGACCACAGATTCAACAAGCGGAATGAAGCGGATCACGACCTCTATGCGCCGCCATGGTCGACTCGTCGCCGGCCGCACGACATGCACGGACCACCACTACCACCACTACCACCACCACCATCCAGTCACTCACTCCGATTTGGCGCTGCAATGGAACATGACCATCCGCAAGGAAGAGGAGCATAAGCATGAGAGAAAAAAGCTCGAATTTCAATTTGATATGTACAAGATCGTTCATCCCCTGGCCGGCTCAGCTATATCATCACCTTCTGCACCCGACTCTTCAATCTCAAAATCGTTGCTCAGCAGACCGCCTCGGAAACCAACAAGTGTTGAAAGTCCAAAGGTCAATGAAGGGAAGTAAGTAAGTAAGAAAGGGGAGGAGTTCATCATTGCCAACAATCAACACCAACGGTCATATATACACTCCCCTTTGGCCACATTGATCTACTTATCCAACTCGCGAAAACATCAAAGGACAGTCGACTATGTACCGGTTCAAAAGGAAATCAAGGGAAAAAAGAAAGACACTGTACAATCCTCCACAGCAACCACGTAGGGCGCTCTCAGTTCTCTCATCATCACCATCTCGTCGATATGTACAAACCCCTTCATCAGTCGTCAATCACCGGCTACCTACACCTACCACTCCATCTTCACCTCTCTGGCCTTGACACCGCTCCTCAGACCCGAATCGTCCTTGGGGAACGGCGCGTTATCAGGGAAGTACGCCCTCCAAGCGTTGCAGTTGTTGTTGAACGCCTGCTTATCCGCATTGCTGATGCCGTTCTTGAGATCCTGCGCCCGCTCGAGGAACTGGTTCGACAGGCCGCCCGACACGTGCCAGGCAATATGGCAGTGCATCAGCCACGCGCCCGGGTTGTCGGTGCGGAAAGCGATGAGCAGCCAGCCCTTGGCGGGAAGCATGGCGACGTCGCGCCGGGTCGGGTTGTTGCCCTTCAAGCGGGGGATATCCACGGCCGGGTCGAACACATAGCGGGTCTGGCTGATGGCGGCCACGTCGGGCGACCGGCCGAGGATGAGGAAGTCGTGGCCGTGCAGATGGATGGGATGCGGCAGGCTGAAAGGGCCGTCGGGGTCGTTCTCGATGAGCCAGTACTTCCACTGGTTGACGCCGTCAACCTTGACGATGTTGTCCGACTCCGAGTAGTTGGTGAGGCCCGTCATCACGTACTCCAAAACGGGCTTGTTCCAGTCGACGTTAATGGCCGTTCCGTTAACGCGCCAGACGAAGCCGTCGAGCGTGATGGGGATCGTGTTGCCCGTGTTGAGCGCGATGCTGTTGGTGTTCAGGCTGCGCTGCAAGACGGGCTTCAGGTCGACGAGGTCTAGGCACTGATGGTCGGGCGGCGCAACGCCCTTGTTGGTCGGCAGGCCGTTCGGTGCACCCTGGTACTTGAAGATGGCGGCCGGAGCCGGGTTGTTGGAGAGACCGCACAGGCCACTGCCGCCGAAAGTCACGTTGAACCAGTAGTTCCCGATGGCCTGGTTGGCATCGATGATGACATCGTAGCGCTGGCCCACGCCCAGCAACAAGCTGTCGACCTTGTACGGCTGCACGGGAACCAAGTCCGCCGCGATGATGGTCATGGAGTGGTTCACCAGCGACAGCTGGAAGTGGTTCTCCACCGAGGTGTTGATGAGGCGCAGACGATGCTTCTTGCCCTTGGTGAGCGAAACCGTGGCATACTGGCCAGCCCCGGTAGTCGGGTGCTTGGCGAACCCATTGAAGAGCACGTTGTCGCTAGGGGGAGGGCCGGCACGCTGTGTAAGCAGCATGATGCGGTCGGCCGTCTCGTAGTAATAGTCCATGAGCGAGAAAGGGCCAAGGTCGACGTCGTAGTTGGCCGAGGCCGGTCCGTTGATGACGATGGACCCGACGATGCCGTTGCCGTACTGCGCCGAGAAATGCGAGTGGTACCACGAGGTTCCGTACTGGGTAGCCCGGAAGCGATACACCTTGCTGCCGCCGTTGGGCGGGATCGGGCACTCGGTCACGCCGTTAACGCCGTCATGGATATTGGTGTTGCGCTGGTGCATGCCGTGCCAGTGGATCGAGGTGCCGTTGGACTTGAGCCTGTTGATGACGGTGATCTCGAGATAGTCGCCCCAGTTGGCCTGAAGGGTGGGGCCGATGATCTTGTTGTTGACCATCATGACCTTGTCCTTCTTGACACCATCAGGACCAATCCAGTTGTCGGTCTCGGTGAGCGTGAGCGTGTACTAGGGCGAGTGTCAGTCCTTTCGTTCTTTACACCGGTCATTTGGAGCCATTATTTTACTTACCCGTCTGGTATTGCCGGTAGTAGGAGTTCCGAGTTCAAAGTCGGTGTTGATGTTGAATCCTAAAGACCAACACTGCCGGTTGGTTGGGGAGTTGCAGTTACCGCCGAAACCACCGCCGAAACCTGGGGCCACAAAGTCCTGTCTCTTATCAACGGGAGTGAGAAGATCTCTATCGTTGCCAAGTGCCGGCGCACCAAGGACGAGCGAAGGGGCAAGAAGGCCCGCAACGAGGGCGGCAATGCCAAAGAACTTCATGGTGACGATGAAGATCCCCAGAGTGGAAAGTAAGGAAAGAAGTAAACGTGGGCTTAAGTGTTTGTGGGACAGGTGGGAGGGGGAATGATGAGGAAATATATATCCAAGAAAGAAAGAAAGGTATGTGCAAGTTTGTTGACCACACCTCCGAGGCTGGACTCTTGAAATGATGGATGACCTGATATGAAGATGAAGAACGAATCGAAAGACACGAAAAAGGGAAGAGATCACCAATCACTTTATACATGTTGGACAGCAACATGCTACTGGGTAGACTTGCTGGAGGTCCCCTTCGTATCGGAGAGGCTGAGCTGGGCTGGCTTGGCTGGCCATGTCTGGGAAACTTCTTTTTCCGAACTGGGATCTGATATTGGATGCAAGACTGGAAGATGTGGATGGTTCCTTGCAGCAGCTTTTTTTGCTGTGCACGCTGTGCTTTGCTGAGCTTGGTGCTGTGCTCAGGCAACCGCCTGGCATACGCCTCTCGGCTACTTCGCCGTTTTTCTCATCTCACTCACTTCTTGGGATGTTGGGAGCTGGGGGAGCTGGGGTACTGTGGCTTTCGCTTGGTGATTCACACACACCTTCCAACAACAACACTTGCCGAGGCCACTGTGAGGCCACAAGGGCCACAAGACTCACGAGGATATCTCGTCCCCGTCCTCGTCCCTGTTCCTGGATTGTGGATGGCATCACATAAGCGGCACAGCTCGGATGTGAGACCATTCACGCCTTTGTTGGCTTGGTATTGAAGAGACTACTGACTGACCTGACCTGACCTGACTGACACTTGACAGACACTGTACGGTGGAAACATCACGGCAGTTTGAAAACAGGGTGAACTGGCTGCAACTGCTGACATATCGATGGCGAAACTTCCGACTTCAAGATATCCCATCCCGTCTTTCTCACCATGATGTGATGGTGGAGGAGGGAAGCGTGAGAAAACTGACTGGGGATCTAAGGGTGTGCAAGAACGACGCTATACACACTGACGGCGGCTCACTTGCAGAGGGATATTGTCTAACATTGGCCATTATGGACGGCAAAGAGGTGATAACGATGATGATGTTGACGGCATGTCAATGTCGACGAGAGTAAGAAAGGTACAGGTGAAGGGAAGCGAGAAAAGCAGGCCGTCTGTCGTCCGTCCGCGTACATCATTTACGAGCTTGAAGGTCAGGTAGGTATGTCGTGTTGTTTTGACAGTGTCGTCGTGAGATTTGAGGACGAGAGAAGTTCCGGGAAAACAGCACTTACCTAACCTCACGGTGTTACCGATCAGAACGAACAGACAGACAGCCCCACCAACGAGCTGTAAAAAAAATCCCGGCCATCAATCCAAAAGGAGATATGCTGCATCTGAAGTGGAATACAGGTACAGGTACCCTCACTCACTCATTCACTTGGACACAGTTCCCAGCGCTACTGGGCATCGAGCCTCTGCCTGGAGGTAGGTACGGACCTATGGTACCTACCTTAGGTACCGTGGAGAAAAGCGGAGGAGGCGGCTCAGTTTCACGGCGGAGTGGTGGGTGAAAATGTTCCTGTTCCCGTTCGGCTCGCTTCGCTTCACCCGGTCTCAGTCGCGCACGCATGAAGGGTGGGTGGGCTGAGACCTCGTTTTTTCGTAACTGGACGTCAGGCCTCGAACTAGGTAGGTAAGGTAGTCGAAGAATAGGTACAGCTGTAGGTAAGCTTGAGAAGAAGGTAGGTAGGTAGGTAGTTAGGTAGGTACGTGAGGTGTGGCGCCACAGCCGACTTCTTACTTTCAATAGTGTATGTCGTGTGTGTAGTGGAAGAGCGGACTGCAGCGAGCGTGGTGCCGCGGAAACGGGAATGAGGCCAGTCAAAAGTGAGTGTAAGTACTATCGTATCTGTGTGTATGTGTGGGGGAGGAGGAAAAGTAAGGTATTGACTGACTGACTGTGAGTGGCAGACAGGTTGACAGACTGCTGTTGTTGGCAGCCCTCGGTGATAGGTACTATCGCTTCAAGCCGAAGGAGGATTTATCATGAAGAAGTGTCTGTGTGTGTGTAAGAGACGAACAGACAGATCACGCTGCACGAGAAGTATTGGCTTGGCCTAGCCTGGCCTGATCGGGATAGCATCACGTTCGGGAGATGACTCCTCTTCCACTTGGACAGCAGTGCGTTGACTATTGTTTGGTTGGGGTTAGGAAGGGAAGAAGGGAAAGAAAACAGTACAGCTGGTAAGGTTACCAATTCCGACAAAGGAGACAAGACCACTAACGATGAGGATGTAGGACAGGACCCAGGGATTCGGTGAGGCGTACGTGTAAGCATGGCGTTGGAATACATCTTGTTGGGTCGTCTTGACAGACAGACTGACAGTGTCTATCTGCAGAGATAGATGGACCTGGTAAAGTGAGGTACCGGTATGCTGATGTCTCGATGCGTCGTACACTTGCCTAATGGCGTAGACCGTGCTAAGCGCTTTGCTCTGTTAGGGAAACTCCATTCTGCGCCTTGGGGTCACTGATGATTATGGTTCTACCAAAGAAGGCACTGGAAAAGCGGCGTGGACAATGTCAGAGGTAAAAACGGGAAGGGAAGGGGCTTTCATGTCTCTGTGCCCCTCTCCGTCCTTGGCAGGGGAAATGCTTTTTCGTTCTTTCCTATTGACGATGTACGTAGAAAACTCATCAATCTGTTGTACAAACCTTTCCCTCTAAAGAGAGAAAAGAGCCCAAAAAGGTAAGCAGCATAAAGCTGCGCCATACAGCCTCAACCAGTTGCCTTTACCCATCAACAACAGCAACTTCGTTCCATGACGGGCAGAAGGACGGGAGAATCGGATTGGCAGGTTGGCGCGGCATTGGCATTGACATTTGACAGCTGACAGTCCTTTTTTCAAGGGTGAATTAGGCTTCGAAAAAAAGAAACAGCCAAGCTCGGAATAATCCTTTCTTTGTCAGACACGACCTACTGATTTCTTCTCGGGATGGAATCTTTTTCGTTACCTGATTTGTAGGCTCCCTATTCGTGGGAGACTGCGGACAGGGGGGGGAAAGTGACAGGGGGTCAGAAGGGGGGGGGGGGAAAGGAGCTGACAGCATCACAGCAGCGAAAACCGGTTGGTTCCGAACCGGTGTCGGTCCGGTCGCATTTGCTGACTGTTCTTTCTTTGCTGGTGGTCTCTGCCTACTGTTTGTCAGAACAGTGTGTACTGCCACCCAGTTGACCGGTCGGATATATCTTGCGTGTAAGACACGAAGCACGGTAAGGCGGAGGCGGGGAGATGATGGGTTGCACTCCATGTTTGGACGGATTTACTGCGGTCGGAGGCTCAGACCAGATCAGATCAGTCAACACTGACTGAACGGCATGGCTGGCTAACACCGAGAAGACTCGGACCTCAGACAATGCCATTGTTTTCTACTGAAAGGTGAGTCTTCCTGTGCTGACATTCCACGTGCAGTTGGTCATTCTACAGAACAACGAGATCCGTGTTTTACGCTGACTTGCTAGGTCGGACCAAACACTCAAAACATCCTCGCTCGGGGTCCCCTAGACCTTGTTCACGACAAGGATCGTAGCTGGACAGCCCTTCCATTTAACGTGCAGTGCACTATCTGCAAGGAGATGGAAGACAAATGGCGGCTGCAGCTACTATTGAACCCTTGGCTTGTTTTGGTTCAGGTCCCTTTGGGCCGAGTGAGGCGCCGATAGTGCCAAGCCGAATGCACTGTAGGAATTCTTCTTCCAATCGATGGAAGCTGTCGTCGAGACGCGCGTATCTAGTAACCGCACAGACTGTTGAGTGGCACACTGGCAGTATCCAAGCCAGTGAACAAGTTGGATTCTGCCCTACCGGTATTGCTCAGGTATGTCCTTTTTTACGTTTCCCGTCCTTGTATTGCTTTTAATATGGATTCTCCCGCTTGTGCCTGACGCCCAAATGCTCGCTAATGCGTTGTTGGGATGGTGATGTATTGGTTCGGTTGCGGCTGGGAGGGACTTGGCGTGGAGGTCAGTGTTGGATACCGTCTTCTTTCACTTATGTAGGGAACTGTATGCATATGCTGCAAACCCGAACCCGACCGAGACCGGAGTTTGTTGGTAGATGTCGGTTTACCTATTTCACTTACCTGTGGTCCATCAGGTCAAGCGCAGTGCCGGTTTGCACCTGTTGGTTGCACTGTTCTCATCACAGTGAGATGTACCTTTTTCAAGACCTCGCATCCATCAAGCTGATAATATCAGAACACATCCTCGACGCCCGCGGATCCCGTCAGGATACCACCTCCCCAGTCATTAGTTTGGGCTTCAAGCTTCCCGACACCGTTAGCCTGACATCGCAACATGCATCCCATCCAGCATCTCAATCACGACGATCTTTCCTTCAAGGGGAGCAGCCAAAAGCCCTATGAGCTTTGAAGCGCCGAGTTATGGAGGGGAAAAGAGGCCGAGAAAGCCAAGCTGAGTTAACCTTTCGTGCCCTTGCCTGCCATACGCGCCACATGGGTATCCCCGAAGGGAAATTTGACCGGCGACCTCAGGCTGTTGTTCTGAACGGCGGCCGGAGTGCAGTCCGCAAGGGCGCGGGACTGGACCCTGCGGATTGGCAGAGAATCCAATCTTATTCAGCAGCCAAGAGATATCTGCCAACCATGCAGCACCCTCAACATGTACTGCACTGCACCTGTACTGCAGTAAGTGCAGCTCTTGACAGGAGCTGTAAGCTGCGGGCACGAAAGCTGTTGGATCGCTTCTCCAAGGTCTGCAGATACGATTCTCATTTCTTAAAAAACCGGTCACCGGTGTGTTCCTCTCTGCCTCGTCGACGGACCCGTCAGCTCAGGTAAAGCTCCTCCGGATATCATGTGGCGTGCAGAGCATTTCCGAACTCAGCCCGTCGGTCGACAACCGTCAGACTCGAAGAGTGGAGGAGGCTCTTGACGGGGCGAGCTACGCCCAGCATCGTGCACCACTGCGTCCAGTGGGGTGTCAAAGTGGTCACATCGGTGGCTTGAGTCG